GACATGATGCAAATATGCTTTCATTGTCAGGATGATTTTGTAGACTATTCCTTCCCATGAGCTGAATACACAGGACTTATCGTGTGTAAAGGGAAAAAAATTAAGCAGTCTGATCCAAAGGGGGCACAACTGACATAAAACATGCACACTTTTCTGAAAAGCTAGTTCCTTGTTGTAATTGCAAATGAGAAAGTGAAAAGAAGGAATTTAAGTTTCTCTTTGGTGTCTGTTTACTTTATACATTGACAGCATCTTGTCTCTTTCTCCTAATGGACAAATTTCCTTGCTGTTTGTATTGCTCAACCAAACCTTCAGGCAGGAGAGGAAATAAAAACAGCAGCCAAAGCACAGCAGGCAAACATCCCTGTGAAATTACAGCAGGATGAAGGTGAAAATGCTTTAGAGCTGAAATGTATCTTCCTTTCTTACAGGCAGATAATTCCATGCTGCTGCAGCCCCCATAAAAGTCTTTACTCTGTGGAGGAGCAGGGGACTCTGCAGTGCTGTCACCTCACCAGAGTGGGTAAATGCCACCAAGAAGGGACAAGCTGGAACTGCATGGGAGGGTTGGTGTGGCCTGACAGGGATGTGTTCCACACTGGGAATCTGCTCTGGTGGTGGTGTGCTCCAGCAGCATGCCTCCTGGGATATTTATATATATTAATATATATTAATATATCTCAATATATATTAATATATAAAATAGATATAAATATATAAATATGTCTACATAAATGTATATTTATATCTTTTATATGTAAATAGATACATAATATATATTTCTAAATAAATAAATAAATGTACACATATATATATATTTATAGGAAATATGTGGTGGTGTCTACTGTTACCTGCTGCTCTGCAGCCTTCACAAATCATGCTCCACTTGATGCCAGGACTAGATTTCACTAAGGAAAGAGCAGTTTCCACCTTCTGCTCCCACCTAAGATCTCCCAGATATTGTACTGGATCTTTACTGAACCTTCCTTGAGGCTGAAACAAGGTGTTCAGCATTGGGTAAGATATGTACTGGGGATTAAATTGAAAAGCAAATTGATAGAATTTGTAATCCTTTTTAAAAATCAGACTATCTGAGCTTTCTCCATTTATTTTAAACAAATAAAATAGAAGATGCTGAAATTGCAAAGACAAACAATTTGTGTATATCCCAGTGCAGCAACATCCAAAAGAACTGCTAAATTTAACCTCCAAATGCATCTAAAAACATCAACAACTGCAAATGCACTACTTTTTTGGGGTTTTTTTTCTTTTTTTTTTTCTTTTTTTTTTTTTTGTTAAGAGAGCCTTACTGGTAGCACTGCTCCCAGTCTGACCAATCTGTCACACAGAGCAAAGCATTTTTCTATCTGTGTAGTTTTCTGAATATGCTTGCTGTGAAACACCAAGCAGGTGTCATTTTGAGCCAAAGAATATCTTTGATCACAATCATTTGATTTTCTCTCTTCTCCAAAAGTTACTTCCTTTTTCTATTGTACTCTGTTCCTTGCAAGCACAAAACAAATTCTTGCAGTACATCAAGGGGGAAAATGCAGGTGGATAAACAAAATGAAAAGCAACAAAAAAGTTCTGTTTGATTAAATGAAGAAAAGTCAAATTTTAGGTTTCAAGAAGAAGGTTCCTGAGACATCACATGGGAAACCCCCCAGACAGATTAGCCCTTGTACACCTAAGAAATTTGCCATCTCCCTGACATTCCTACCATGTCTCTGCAGCATGGTTTTTAAAGTAGATGCTTGAGGTTACTTGAGCATATTTAAAAATGCAAATAATTTTTTTTTCCTGCCTTTGCCAGGTCAAGTACTAGAGACATGTTTGCTGCAGCTGAGTGACATACATCTATTCAAATCCCTTCTGAACTGGAATCAATATTACCTAGATCCATTACCTCCTGCTTTATTGGCAGCTTGGGTGCTTGTTCAGAAAACAGTCCCTCCTAGTAATGTAATAAAGCCCCCACCTTGGAGATAATTAGATTGCCTGTGATATAGAAACCACTGATGATCATTTCCCTGCTGATTTTGGCTTGCTACTCCAGCTCAGGTTGCAGTCTCCATCACTACATGCTCTTACATTAGACCACTTGAGCCTCATCACCTAACAATTGCCATAGCAGATTTATTTGGATTTTTTTTTAACTCTTCCATAATAACAGCAACCAGACAAACCTCAGAGTGTCATTAACATGCTTTTAAAAATGCACTGAAATGGCTTTTTCAATTACCTCAAGATTTAATATCCTGGCCACAACACAGATATCCCTCACTCTAACAACAAATCCTTCCAGGAGAGAACACATGACACCGCCCTCCCCTGAATTTCCTTTGGATCCTCAGTGTGTCCCAGAGGCTGATGAACTCAAACTGTGAGCAAAAGCACACTCCACAAATGCTGTGAACACTCAGGCATGGCCTTGCCAGCTCTCTTTCCTTACCACACCTTCCTGATGCCTTGATGGGTTCCCAATCCAAGAGTCCTCACTTGTCATGAATTTCATTAGTAATAAATGAGGGAACCACAACCTCAAGCATCTGCTTCCTCTGAAGTCCCCTCCCTTGCTCCTGTGGTGAAATCTGCCCCAGAAGGTCCCAAGCATGCAGATTTTGGTTTAGTGTTGACCACTTTTGCTCTTGATTTCAATCATTGAAGAGTGAAAGAAAACAAATCCACTTAGATAGGTCAGCCTGTAAATGATGCTCTCCCTGTCCCAACAGGTGGGAATACATGACTTTGCACATCCCCTGGGGCCTGAGGATCATCTTTCTAATTATCTCCATGCCTTTAAACAACAGCAGTGGATGACTGGCAGCAACTCTGTGCAATGTGTAGCAGATGAGACACCACTTGCTAATTCTGAGCTAAAAAACCCCAGAGTAAGTAGGAATCTTTATTACCTATTTTAGGCCTTTAAACCTTACCCAGTGGTATTAAATACTTAACTAAAACAGCAAAAGGCTGAAGGAGAAAGAAACAAGGCATGAAGGGAAAGCTGGTTTCCCTTGATGTCACAAACATTGACAGCTTTGATGTATTTATCAAAACAAGTACAAAAACACTCAGTTTGAAGGTGTAATTTTTTGTCCTCTTATACTCAAGAACTGCAAGTTCTCCCCTGGCTGTTTCAGGCTGTAACCCTCTTGTGGGCACAGTGCCTCCACCAGGGGTTTTCTCCAACCATGGCTTTTTGCTGACACACTGCAATTTATTAACTTTGACGGGAAGGAAAGAGGGTGGGTTTGCTCATTTACCTTGCTAGAAACTAACCCTCAATTCCACACAGGCTGCCAATATATAAACACTCCACGGATACTGGATTGGTATTTAACTTCCCACCAGCTGAACAATTCCAAAGCAGTAGCAATCAACTCTTTCAGCATTGCCCATGAGCAGCAGCTTTCCACCACCACGTCTCAGGTCACCAGCAAGAACAATGAACATGACACACAAAATATTGTTGGTGTGCAGAGCACTTGTTTTTCCCAATATTGGTTTGCAAAGGCTGAGGTTCACCAGCACAATGGAGATTGCCAGATCCTGGGATTCCCGGGAAACATCCCAATAGTCTTGGAGTTCTGCCTGAGCCTGGATAAACACAATGTATTACAATCAACAAAGGCCTTAATTAATGGATGCTGACATTGTACCTCCCGAGGAACAAACAAAGGGGAAAGCATGGCCCTGTGCCCAAGGACCTTGGAGTCTAACTCAGGCTGGCAATACAGATCAGACACACCAGGCCTGCAGAGGGAAGGCTGACACTGAGCTTTCCCTTTGTCTCATGTCAATACAGATACAGGCAGTGGCAGCAGAAAGCTAAACATCTCTCCCTGGGACCTGAGGGCTTTTCTTGCCTTTTTGTCCACAAGCAAGTTCAGATTTTATCTTCCCTTCATCTCCCTGCAGACACATGCCTTTTTTTTTTTTTTGTCATTAAATTCCTTCTAAATGAAACCTTTTTTTTTGTTTGTTTGTTTGTTTTGTTTTGTTTTTTTTTTGTTTTGTTTTTGCAGTCTTCCACCTTTGGTTCTACCAGCTCAGAACATCTCCCTCCAGAAGTTGATCATCTCACCTCCTCCCCTTGCTTGGCCTAAGACACCCACCTCCCTGGTTCAAATGCTCTCACATATTTGGCTCAAAAGCTCCTCTGTCCCACTACTCCAAGGTATTTTCCACCTCTTCCTACAACTCCTAACAGCCTGCAGTCTTTGCATGGCTTGTAATTTCCTCTGACCACAGAAGATCCCATCTCCTTCCATTCTGTCTGAACTCTTCCACTTCCATCAAGATCATGAGAAGCTGTCAAATAAAATCACTCCGACAGTGCACTTGGACCCTGGGGATGGGAGGCAGGAGGAACCATGGGCATCTATAGATAGCAGGGTTATTCATAAAGTCCTTTATGCAGAGGATGTTAGTACACCCCTGGATTTCTCCACTGTCTCACTGTCTATACAATGAGAAAATTAAATACATGTAGTCCATAAGCAAATCAAGTACAAATGTAGATGACGATTCAAACCTGAGTACCTTCCCACTTACAAAACATGCTATTTTTGGGACATTTGTTGATTTGTTTATCTTCCTTTGCCAAAAGTCAGGAATTCATCATCAGTTTCAATCCCTCCATGTGCTCTGTTTCATTTCCATTAAAACACTCTCCACTCAGCCAAAATTTTACTTAGTTTTCACAATTTTTTACTGAGACATTCAAATGTATTGGAAAAGAACTGTAATAAGGCCCCTAAAGATTTCAAACCTGAGTAAGTGACACATAGAAACTTCTCCTCCCTGCAGTTGACAAAATTGTATTACTATGCACAATATTGTCATTATCCTCTCTACTATTACGCCTAGACCTAAGGAAGTTGAAATAGCTACTTCATGCTGGTGAAAAGTGGACAGAACTAGAGGAAAATGTAGTAATAATAATAATAAAGGCAACAAAACCAGACCAGAATTGAAGATATTTTTAAAGTACTTACCCAGCATCAGTGCTGTTGCCACACAGTAACACATCTTCTGTACCATTTTTTATGAAATAGTTCACTGCAACAGAAATTGAGACATGGCTTTTTAATAAACACATTCTGGGAATGATAACTTTCAAAAATATCATCCAACAACCAGCATATTCAATTGGGACAGCAACTGAAAGATGAATGGCAGGCTTTTGCTTTGTTTTGCTAATTTTAACTTTTATAAATTGGAAAAATAAATATATTTTTTCAAATCTCTGCAAGCGCTTGCTGTTTGTGTTCCAAATCTGACCTGTTGAATAAGGTGATGATGGGCTGTGGGCAATGTTTTTAGGAAATGCTATTCAGCCATGTCTCTCTGTTCAAACCAAGAACATTGTTACTAAAATCTGTAAATGTAATGAAACCAAATCATATGCTAGCCTGTAACTTTTAGTCTCTACTCTGATGAGACACATATTAATTGAAGTTTGTGGCAGAAATTACTGACTCATAGGTTAAAAACGTAACCAGCTATAACTGAGAATGTAATAATATTAACAAAGCAGCCCACTCCCTCAGTCTGGTGGATTCTGCTCAACATAGGAAACACAGAGTATACGGCAAAAGAAACAAAAATGCACCCTGTTAAAGATCAAACAAACAAGGAAGTATTCACAAAGACAAATATTTATCACTGTCATCATCTGTACAGGCAATGAAGAGGGACAGAAACTTCTCAAGGGAGCCTCAGAAGAGCAAGATAAATTTAAGTGCTGAGGATCATTCCCAGGTTGACTCTCAATAAGGCTTAAGGAAATTAGCATCTCAAGGCTAATGAGAGACTTTGCATACACACTTCTTCTTCTCTTCCCAGCCAACCAAGTCTATCGTGCAGAGTAACAGAACAGGAGGCCAATTTCTTCTCAAAAGGATAAGCAAAATCAGTGTTCCTGAGGGAGCGTGAAGAAAAGGTGTTCTAAAGAGTATTTCTAAAACCTGGATGGTGGCAGGGAAGAACAGATAAAAGCATTGCTCTAGAAACATAAAAAATGTAAACCAGAGGTGTGCAGCTCACTGAGGAGGGGTAAATAATCTGGTGTGCTTTGTTGCAGCAGAGAGGATGTGATCCCCTCTTGGCCAAGAGATGACGGTGGCAACCTTTCCTGGTAAGGCTTTGTGAGCAGAGGGACCTCTGCAGATGCTGCTCACAAGAGGTTCCCCATTCCAGGCTAACCCTGTGCTGTGAAATGTTTTAAAAATCAAGAGTGACAGCTTATCCAGGCGGGCTATGCAGAGAATGCTCAGTGGCTCAAGCACTGAACAGATGTGGCTTTCTCAGTAAGCTGCGAGCAGTGGAAAAGCCCTGCTCTGCTGCATGCCAAGAGGGAATTACTGCCCAGGAGCTTGTGGTTACAGGGGCACGTGATGGTGTTCACAAGTTATCAGAGCACAGATCCTGCTCACACTGGATGCTTTTCCACTTTGTCTGGTCACGTGGGATTTCTATAGAAACACCTTGTGTGACAGCAGCACTTGGGACTGGGTATGGTTGAGGATTGGGGGTCAATCACCACAAAACAGGGAAAGATGACACATCTGCATCATCTTTCACCCTCCAGTTCTGCTGGGCAAGGACTTGTGCTTTTCTCAGGACAGCTGGCATCTTATTTGGGATACACATAGTCAGTGACACAAACACAGCAGACCACTTTCTCTCTGAGCTAGAAGGTCTTTAAGGTCCTATCCAACACAAACCATTATATGATTCCAGGTTTGATTGAAATTCTGGAGGACAGTGTTGGTTGAAAACCAAAACAACATCTCCTGATCAGCCAAATCAGAAGATAAGAAAAGAGTCTGGATTAGGGAGGACGAAGGATTAAGGAGGACAAGGATTCTCTCTGTGCAAACAAGAAACCTGAAATCTCAAAACCAGATCAAATGCTGTTGTCTGCTGTTGACTTAAGTATTTACACTTCTAAAAGAAGCAGCAAGGCAGGTGCCAAAGAGCCCCATGAGATGCAGGCTGAGGAACTGATGTGGAGATGCTGCTGGGAGAACACACCTTCACCACGGGGTCTGTGCAGGGACAGCCACAGCCACAGTGACAAACCTCGGGTTTAGGAAGAGGCGAGCTCCCGATTCCCCTCTGATAAATGAAAGGGGGATTAGAGCTTTACACCCAAGGAGACAAATTGCTGTATTATCAAAAATGTGCACAACAATCAATCTTTCCTTCAAAGCCCGTTGTTTTGGGTTTCAATCAAGCCTGCTGGGCAATCAGAGAGCTGCAAGAAGCAAACAGGCGTCACTCTTGCTTTAAAGAGTGAACACCCTTGGTACCAGGTTAACCCATGGCCTCAGCTTCCCATCAGTTAACTCTAACCTGGGCAAAGAACTAGGAACTCCTTCTTCATGCAGAGCAGGATTTTCTCTCTGAAAACTGCTCAAACTGAGCAACGCCACATGAAAACACAATGATTTTTCATTGCCTTGGAAGATTGCAATTAATTTTTGTTCTGTTTTTTCACAGAAAAATATTAGCCTGTGAGTGGGGAAAAAAGATAGGAAAACAAATATGGAAAATAAAGCTGAAAATCTCTATTTTAGGTACTTCCTTTTGTTTTTTTTTTTTTTATTATTTTTGAAGTAAAATTAAGCCAAAACCATTATAATTGTACATCTCTGTGTGTGTACATAAACTTTATGCAACATGCCATTCTTTCCAAAGGTAATGCTGATTTCCTTTTTTTTTTTTTTTTTTTAACCAGCTTTACTAAAATGTTGGTGTCACAGTCATAGTGTTTCTTTTTAGGAATTTTTCTACAGGAGTTTCCAGAGCAAAGTAACGACCTGATCATATTAAAAAAGTAAAAATTGTCTGAATAACAAGGTCTCCTTGATGTCCTTGTTCTGCCTCCTACACTTCTCAAAGCAAATAACAATGGCCATAATTTTAAAGTCACTATATGCAAGTGGGCAAAACCACAAATTTTCTATCTCTATTCTTGCAATATCTTCCTCCCAAAGTCAGTTCCTTGTCATTTTGTCTGTTTCATTCTACATTTTTTCTGATTTCTCAATATCTTCCAGGTTTCTGCATTGCTCCCTCCTACACCAGGTGATTCTAACAGAGTAAACATTCACAGTGTCTCCACTTGTCAAATTACCAGAGGGAAAAAAAAACAAACAAACAAACTTCCTCAAAAAGAAAAATCCAATTAAATATATGCTCCAGCTTGTGCTTTCCACACCTTTATCACACAACTGAGCAGAAAGCCAGTAGGGTACATAGACTGCAGGGTAGAAACCTTCTTCATTTCTGTGTGAAGGAAAAGAAAATTTTCTCATTCAGAAAATTGAAAAAGGTTGGAGCCAGCTTAGAAAACACAGCTTCTGCCTCCAGTTTCTGCTCCTCCTTTGAAGGCCCTCCTGAAACGTTATTTTGACTCATCTTACAACATATTAATTCCAATTAAAAATAAAACCACCACAACAACCCCATATATTATCACACTTGCATAAAGAGCAACATTCAAATATCATTAGTCACTGCCCAGAGAAGAGTCCTCTGGCTGACTTTCTAACAAAAACTTCGGAGAGGTGTTTGTTATCTCAGACTATTTATTGCAGCCACACGGGCACTCACTGCTTGGAGACTTTCTCCCAGCGCTGGGGCTGGCACGGAGCACTGCCAGCCACCCAACGTCCCCATTCCAAATTTAAAATGCAGTTCGGAAAGCTCCATCTCCTTACAGCTGTGATATGTGGCACGGAGAGGAAATAGACAACACCCCCTCCTCGCCCTTTCGCCCACTGGCGCGAACGCGCTCTGCCTCCCGGTAATACGCGATAATTAAAACCAATCCTTGCTGCACTTGCTGTGTGCACACTGTGTCACACACGGCGAAGCCTCTAATAAATGAAATTGAGTTTGAAGATGAAAAACATGCCTCACAAAAGCCATGGAACAGGATGTATTAAGGGTGTTATTAGGGGAGAACGCTTTGGGGGGAAATGGAACTGCCGGTTAGTTCTTCCCGGCTGAAAGGGGTTGTAAATAATTATAATAATCAGTTACTCTCCTGTTGCTCAGCCCCTGACAGGGGATCTGGCTCTCCTTTGCTGTCCCCTGGCATTGGCTGCTGCTGACCCTTCTGCTGAGTTTCAGAGGCTCTTGGGTGCTCTCCTCTCCTTGCTTTTCATCCTCCCCCTTTCCCTGAGAAATCTCTTACAGCCCAGCTCTCTGATGCCTCCATACCCTGTAACTGCATGGAAGGACATTTCCTAAACTTCAGTTCAAAAAGGATTAGGAGGAGTTACAGCCAAGATGGTTGGGTGGGTAGAGGGAGCAGAGATCAAGGGGACGACTTTATTTACAGCACTGGCAACGGCATGACTTTGTGGTAAACACAGCCTGGAATTCTGGGCATGAATTGTTCTGCAGGAGATATGGAAGGGCTGGGAGGTTTTAGAAAATCATACAACCAGGTGGTGAGAGGAAAGTGGTCTCCTTCAGTTTGTGTCTCTCTGGTAGGCTCCTGTTAGTGCTTCTCCCCACTCTCCAGACAAGTCAGAGAAACAATTTCCCTGCCAGGCTCAGCAGTCGCCTCAGCACAGAAAATGTCTCCAATTTTGACAGTACAGCTTTTTCCCCCTTTGTGAAAAAGCCACTAAAAATATCAATCAAGCCCTCTTGAGCTAGATGGCTCCCGTGCACTAGGAAGAGGCTCTGAAAGCCTCAGAGATCCACAGTACCTGGTTTGTGCTGCTCATGAGGTCTGAGGGAACAAAAAGCACATCAGGAGAGGAGGAAAAGCGCATCAGGAGCTTTTGGAGGTGTGCACTAGAGGAGAGCAGAGAATTTAAATGCTCTCAAATTGGCTTGAGGACCTTGCCAAGCCTAGGAGCATCCCCAGGAAGACAAGACAGGAGACAATGACTAGCAATAAACACACATGCTGGCTTTTAAACATCTTCAGATAATCTCCTTCTATGCCTCTGTGCCTCACCAGTTACTCAGACCCCCACTCCTAGGGCTGGAGGGTGCATAGTAGCTAAAAGCATATTTAGTACCACTGTTTAGAC